TGGACAGCAGGCGAGAGAGGCCCAGGTATCACACAGCGTCGACTTCCTGGACTGCGACCCTCGACGCTCATGGTGGACTGGCCTTACTGTAAGGAAGCACGGGATTCGCCAAGGTACAGTGTGTGGGTTACGCGGAGACGCGGGTGAGATCGTCGGCTATAGCGATAGACGAGAGAGAGAGAGAGAAAGAGAGAGAGAGAGAGAGAGAGAGGAAGAAAAGGGCGCGTGAGACCCAGAGCGAGTGAGTAGTCGCGTAGTCGTGGTGTAAGGGCGGGACGGATCGAGAGCCGGCGTCGGGACGCTGTGAGTTGTAAGGCGTGTTTGTGACCGTCTCCGGTCGCGACGACAATCCACGCCCGGGACTTATAGGTTACGCCGAGTGTGAGTGTGGGGGTGTGTAGGTACGGACAGGCAACCACGCCGAGGGGACCTGATCCCAGACCGAGAGTAATGTGAGAGGGGAAGTGGGTGTAAAGGCGCGTGAGTGCGTGTGTGTGAGCGGGCTAGCGTGGCTCTCCGAGCGCACCACTGGCGTTGTGGTGGCGATCGAGGGCCTGTGCCATAGCATCGGGACCGAGAGGAGTTACGTGAAGTGATTGTAGATAGTGGTTGTGGTTATTTTCAATAAATTTGTAAAATAAAGTCAACATAGCCTTTGTGTTCATTTGCCCAGACGCGAATCCCCTTTTGAGACAGGTCCAGTGAAGGGGCGAAGAGGAAAAGTGTTGTCGAGCAGAGACGTACAAGAGAGAATAATAACGATATTTTCTCTCCAACGGTAAGTCACCTTGGGGAATGTAAAATCCACGTTATAATTGGCATCCCTTGTGGGGAGAGCGCGTCTGGCAAGTGAAAACTATTGTAGCGTAAATAGAGTACGAGTGTAGGCAAAGTGCGTCATTTTTGTCAGCCGTTTTGAGGTCAAGAGAAATTTGTGAAAAGCTACAACTATTGGAACCTGTGAATAAGAATAGCGGGATAGCAAGATCTTCGTTATTAAGTGTCCAGGGGGCCCCAGTAGTTTCAATCAAACAAACTAAGGTCAACGGCGGTTTACAGCTCGACACGAGGTGGCGCTGTATATACATATACTAGCAGCCCCGTGTCTAGTAGCTGCTAAACAAGACGTACGTCGACAAATTAGAAATTATTTTCTGACGAACTAAAGTATTTTTTTTTTAAGCTTTGTAGTATTTTGGGACTTTTACTAGCTTTACTATAATTTTACTTTAAAGGTGAACTTACTTACTACAAAGTATTTTGGGACTTTCTATAACTTTATTTCATTTTATTTCTTGGGGGGGGGGGGTTTAACTATCTTCGTCAGATACTGTGTAACAAATCCCCGTAGTGAGGACATCGGCTGTATAAGGTGTGAGTCTAGTGAGTTAGAACATCGTGAAGACGAGTGCAATACACCGTATCAGTGCCTAAGTAGCGGTAATAGACGAGTGGGGACAATTTGTGACAACAGCTTGGATACCTGGAGCCTAGCGGGAATAAGTGGCCATCCAGGAGCCAGTCAAGGGCAGTGAAGCTTCCTAACCTAACGCAACGAAATTCGGGAACATGAGGCCGCAAGTGAGTGAGGAGGCCATGCGCTTAGGGAAATTGGAACGAGAGTACCGAGCCGTAAAGAGGTCGGTAAATAAATTATCGGCAAGAGAAGTGGAAGAAGAACTTTAGGCTAGAAGTCTGAGTACTAGAGGGGAGGGAGAAGTGATTCGGGATCGGTTGTTGCGTTTCTGCTTGATAGAAATGCAACCCGAAAACACCAAGATTCCGGTTTATGCAGACGACCGAGCCGAATCAACACTGCAAGCAGCGTTACGGAAGAGCCTTGCTCCTTCAGATGAAGAGTTGTTGAACGAGGAGGAGGATCGACTAATAGAGCGAAGAGGTAAGGGGAGCGTATATTCGGATAGAGAAAGTGATAAGGGACGAATGAAGAGAGATTTCAGGGGGAATACCCCTACGAGACGTGGAAGAGAAGAGACTCAAGAGGGTGGGGCACCAGAGAGATTGGCCCACACCACAGACGAACCTTCGCGTGGGTGGAGGGGAACGTCACATTCCCCAACTAATGAGGACATTGGGACTTGGAATGTTTCTGCCCCCGAGCCCCGGGTAAGACACACGAGGACCTCGACGCAGGTGGGAGCCAGCGGACTCAACGTAGCTTCGGTGCCCGTCTCCATCGCTACGGCCTCCACGACGACGACCGTCACGGCCACGACAAACACGGGCCTGCATCTGTTGAAACCACGTGCAGATATACCAACGCCGTTCACGTACCAAGGTATCATGGCGAAGGGAGAATACTCCACGCCGGCAGCCACCCCTAAGGTATTGAGTAAAGTGCCGGCCCCTCCGTGGATGAAGGACCAATCCCAAAAATACTGGCGCGGATTGGAATCGCGGACACCGTTGAGGCCCATGACAGAGGATAGCGAGGGACCAAAGGTGGATAGGCGCGGTCAGTCTAATGCCAATGGCCCCGAGGAGCCATGTTGGAAGTCAGGCGAGACCTACCGGAGTGGGACAGAAGGATAAGACGGAGGGTATAACGAAGTAGACCGAACCGGTGGGACCAAATATAAGACTGCGAACAGCTGGGAAGATTATAAGCAAAGGTTCGTAGAGACGCGGGACAGCAATAATGGAAGACAGGGATTGAGCGCGGCTAATCGGTTCTCGAAAGGCCAGCGGCCCCCTGTAACGAGTGAGAGGAATGACACAAGATTTTTGAGGAGACGCAAAGGCGAAGAAGGGCCATCTCAGAAGGATGAGTTCAATCACGGCTCTGAAGGACACAGCTGGGAGGGCGAAGCCCAACTAAGTGATGAGACACAACACATGGGCATGCCCTGGATGGATAGGATCTCGGCGGCCTCAAGAAGAGAGGAGTATAAGCGGGACCAGAGGATAGTGAAAGAGGAGAAAAGGGGTAAGGTGTTTTGGACCCCAAAAACTCCTCCCCCCGAAACCTCATACCTACGGGATAGAGCAACCGATCGAAGGGAACAATGGGTGTCAGAGACCCCGGGGTATGGAGAACGCCTTCTCTTTAAGACCCTAGGGAAAGGTGGAGACCATTGGGACATCCAATGCACAGCCGAATGGCGGCGGAGATACCTGCTTACTGAAAGTGAGAGTGACCCTGAACGAATAAGTGGGATCCCAAGAGTGGTGACCGAAAGGAAGAGCCACAAGGGAGAAAGGAAATGTGAGATTCACAAGGACTCCAGAGCGGAAAGGAGAGGAGGTGAACCAGTAGGCAGACCTCCGACACAGAGGGGCAGGTCCCCAAGTATCCCTAGACATCAGCCTCGGCGAACAGGGCACCTGAGAACTGAACCCCGCTCTAATGTGACTTCAGCCGTAAAACAATTGAGGGACTGGGGATTCAAGTTTTCGGGAACCAAGGGTAGTGACTTTGCGACATTTTAAGATAATCTCAATGACTTTAGGGGTAGCTTGGATCTAATGGATGAACACATCTTAGGAGCACTGCCTAGCGTTTTCTCCGACCATGCCACGCGCTGGTTTTGGGTCAAGAGAGAGTCCCTGACGACCTGGAAGGATTTCGAGAGGGCGTTTGCCCTGCAATTTGGGGAAGAGTTTGAGGAAGAGGATTTGAGACAAGACCTGTATGCTCAGACCCAAGGAAAAGGGGAGACAGTATCAGTGTTTTTGGCCAATTTTCAATATATTGTCTCCAAATTCAAACGTCCCCCGTCCATCCAAGAATAGGCAGATCGAGCATACCGAAATCTACTCCCCGAATACCGACGGGCGATGCAAGATTAGGTGATCAGCACGCTCGAGGATATTCAAGAGTACGGACAACGATGGGAGAGGCAGAAGAACTTAAACGACAGATATGTCCCCCCTCCAGCTGCCAGCGCTATGCATGTGACCGGAGCAGCGTACATAGCAGAGCGAACGCAGACCAAGGTATTGGAGATACATTAGGTAAAGGGAATGGTCACCGGCAAGGTGGAGGCGACTCCAGGGAAGAAGAAGAAACAGAATATGATAAAGTCAAGCGGAAAGGGGCGAGGAGATACTCAAGTACCTAATTCTCAAACGGATACAGAAGCGACAGGGGTAACCCCAAGTTCTGCGGTTGCTACGCAAAGAATAGCTGGGATAAATGGTATATCAGGAGGAAAGTTGAAGGAGTAGACGGGTAACCTGACATGGAGGCAGCGACCGGGACAAAGCAATCTAGCTTCTACTACCCAAGAGAACACCCAGCCTCAGCTAGGGAAGTGTGGAGGAGGAGTTACCGAGGACACCTTTCAAGGTGGCTGCTTCAAGTGCCAAACCGTAGGGCATCGGATGTCCGAGTGTCCTGATACACTATGCTTTGCCTGCGGTCAAAAGGGACATATAGCACGGGAATGCCCCAGTAGACAGAACTCCACTGGTCGTTCTTGTATCTCCTGTGGGACGGTGGGGGTGACGATCGCTTATTGCCCCAGGTGCAAACACATACGAGAGGCATTGAGAAACGAATTGGCGTGGGGTGCGAGGTAAAGACCCAACCATCTTACAGTAGGGTACGTCTGGGGGAAAGAATGAGAAGTGTGCTAGAAGAGGAACTATCCCACCATCAAGGGGGGTTGTGAATTCCACACCTGAGACTCCAGACTATCTATTAAGTATAAACTGAAACCTATTCCAAGAGCTAAGGGAACAAGGAAACTAGTGGAATCTAGGGGGGAGAGAGGGACACAGGCGAAAAGAGAGCGGAAGAAGTTAGGACCAGACGATGGGCAGGCATCCGGACGATAGGAGAAGTAGGTACAGGACCATTCGTACCTCCAGCAACGACCCGAGGTTCAGAAGATCGAAGGAGAGCCCAGAGTGGCCGTTGCAGTCAGGGGTTAAGGCCTCACGTAAGTAACGTGTGACAAGGTATGATCTTATCTATTTATGTTTAATTGTAAACTATATGCTAAGGAAACAGGGGCGTCGATGATACTGTATAGGCGTTAGAACATCCAGGGGATGTCTAGCCTAGTGGGGGAGAGTTTGTGACGTGGCAAAATTTGCTTCACAATTTTGCACGTCACTGTCGACGCCCCTATTCGACGTGGAGCAAGAGAGCCGAGAGTACGTGGAGCAAGAGAGCCGAGTGTACAGCAAGTATTAAGTGTGAGAGAGAGAGAGAGAGAGCGAGTGAGAGAGTGAGTGGGAAGAAGGACTCGGAAAAATAAGCCTGATCCCGACCCATCCGACCCTGAACGGCGGCCATCTTGAGACGAAGCGTCCTCCCGTGATGACCCGAGCCGAGCCCGAGGTGAGAGGTGTACTGGACAGCAGGCGAGAGAGGCCCAGGTATCACGCAGCGTCGACTTCCTGGACTGCGACCCTCGACGCTCATGGTGGACTGGCCTTACTGTAGGGAAGCACGGGATTCGCCAAGGTACAGTGTATGGGTTACGCGGAGACGCGGGTGAGATCGTCAGCTATAGCGATAGACGAGAGAGAGAGAGAGAGAGAGAGAGAGAGAGGAAGAAAAGGGCGCGTGAGACCCAGAGAGAGTGAGTAGTCGCGTAGTCGTGGTGTAAGGGCGGGACGGATCGAGAGCCGGCGTCGGGACGCTGTGAGTTGTAAGGCGTGCTTGTGACCGTCTCCGGTTGCGACGGCAATCCACGCCCGGGACTTATAGGTTACGCCGAGTGTGAGTGTGGGGGTGTGTAGGTACGGACAGGCAACCACGCCGAAGGGACCTGATTCCAGACCGAGAGTAGTGTGAGAGGGAAAGTGGGTGTAAAAGCGCGTGAGTGTGTGTGTGTGTGTGAGCGGACTAGCGTGGCTCTCCGAGCGCACCACTGGCGTTGTGGTGGCGATCGAGGGCCTGCGCCATGGCATCGGGACCGAGAGGAGTTACGTGAAGTGATTGTAGATAGCGGTTGTGGTTATTTTCAATAAATTTGTAAAATAAAGTCAACATAGCCTTTGTGTTCATTTGCCCAGACGCGAATCCCCTTTTGAGACAGGTCCAGTGAAGGGGCGAAGAGGAAGAGTGTTGTCTAGCAGAGACGTACGAGAGAGAATAATAACGATATTTTCTCTCCAACGGTAAGTCACCTTGGGGAATGTAAAATCCACGTTATAGGTTTTCCTCATAATAAAACTGCCTTTCAAAATTGATAATAATTATATGCTATTGAAAAAAGTGAAATACTATACCAAAACTAATTTGTTTGCAAATGACAACAAAATTATAAAATAAAAACAATTTTACTTCCGCATGACACGCTATACACAGATAACAGCTTATAAAGCAAGTTTTAATTCTACTAACTATCAGTATGCTAAAAAACATTGATTTTTTACTGCCAAAAATCTATTTCTTACTTAAATAAACTGGAGGTTTTAAAATGTCGACCAGTTGGATTAGATACATCGCGTTGACAAATATTACTTGATATATCAGAAAGAAACCACAATTGGTTATAAAGTGAAACCTCATACCTTGCAGGTTGCTGATTTTTATATATTTCACCTCTGTTCTCTAACTTTAAATTTGTTGTTGAATGATTTAGTCCAACCACTGAAAAAGAACCTGGTGCTTTACTACAAGGAGCTACTTTTGATAAATTAACTGTTTGTCTCAAAAGATTCATTATTATATGTATATCATCAGCTATAGATTCTTCCACTGAACACATTCGCTGAGTTAACTGGTTTAATTTCATGTCAACTTGCTGAAGAAGTTGATCTGATTCACTGAAAAAGCCACCTGTGTTGTAAAAAATATTAATATTACATATAGTTATTGCTGCAGTAATCATAATAATTAAAAAATAGAACTACATAAAATAACAAGTATCCTAATACATTTTTTTCTAGACATTAGTAATATCCTTAGCATAACGTTCAAATCGTAGCAAACTGGCTACACCTACATGAAAAGTATAAAATAGTAATACCCAATGACACACTAAAGTTGGCCAAAGCCTACAAAATATTTGAGCAATTCGTAACAATTCTAGCAGTTTTCTTCAATTTATATTGCCTGAAGATGATTCAAGCTTACCATTTCCATCTTACCTCCCAGTTGTAGCATAAGAACGTTTAGCAGCCTAGTCTTATAAGATTGCCTTCAAAAACAATAGCATTAACTTTGGTATGATTACAGTTGTAAAAGTTCAACTGTCTTTCTTACACTTTATGAACTAACTTTTTAGTTACATCCACAGGAGCGCATTACTATGGGTATAAAAATAACTATATTTCTTGGTACTAAGTTATGGTCATAAAGATAAGGTAAGAAATGTGCCCGATCAATATTAGTACGAACATGTGAAAACAATATGCAGTTAACGAAAACTAATTATGTAACTTTATAGAATAGTAAAGTTCCTCTGGCCGTGAAATACGGCTATTCAGCGTAGTTTTCAAGTAACTGGTGAAAAGTGAAGTTTAAGCGTATTTGTATTATAAAGAGTACTCTGCATTATAAAGAGTGATAGTACAAAAAGATTTATAGATTAAGAGAGTTTTATTTATAATAAAAGTCACAATTAACAAAAAAACGTAGAACAAAAATATTTCTTAGCATTAACAGTACAAAACCTAAGTCTACTTATTATACCACAGAACAAAAACTTTTTTTTTGTACAATATACGAGAGTTTTGTTGTACTATTAGTTAAAATAATTAAAAGCAAGGTGTATACTAACATTTAAAATTTGATTAGTAATAATGTGTGTTAAAGTCCCTGACACACTGATCATTTTTTAGTATGGAACATTATTTTATTCTACTCTTACACCATAAAAAAGTATATAATCTTGTAATTCTAATGAGTCTACTAAAAATTTTATAAGTTAATTGTAAGTTCCTTTAATAGTAATAGCACAAGAATTATTTCATCGCAGTCTGCAATCTTTACGTGAAGTAAATGAACAATGCTGTTTTACAATTTATTCCATAAGTTCAGGAATTTTCGGATGAAAAAAGTTGATTGATCTATTGCAGGTAGGTAGAATAACGTTTTCCATAGTATCAAGCGTGTGTGAGATTGAAGCTATTTTGGCGTGTTTTTTGATCTATAAAAGAAACACAGTTCGAAGCTTAAGATTCTGGTTTTTACATTATTATGTGTTTTTTGAAAAACGTCACAAACTTTCGCACCATAATGACTCTACTTATTTGTAATGTTGCACCGTTTGCTGCATGAGCTTTTTTAACAGTTTTTCTGTTGCCGCTTTAAAAACAGTAGCTATAATGATATACCAATGGTTCCAGTCAACGTGACTTTTTGTTGGATGTAATGACTGATGAACATTTTACGTAAATACTAATTTTCAATTCAACCCATGTTCAACAACGAATTCTCTGGGTAATTAATGAACACTATGTTATTATTAGGCTTATGCGCCCTCCAGTATATTTTCAACCTTAAAAGTTCTTCAATGTTGAAAGAAAGGTTAAAATTGTGGAGAGATTTTTCAAATTAAATCACTTGAAAATAATATCTAATTCTCATACTTCTTCAAGTAAAAATTTTTAATGCAAGCAACCTAAATATTAATTATAAAGATACTAAAAAAAATGTGCGTACTTCGAAACTACTTCTCAGAATAAAAGAAACGTATTTTTTTTTAATTGTTAACAACATCATTTTTCTTCCCTGTTCAATAAAAATAAATTTTCTCTTGATTGGCTCAACGAATCTTTATGAAATTTTATGATATAAGTCAAGAAAAAATATTTTTAGAATTTACGCAGCATGTAATTTTTTTTTTTTAAATTAATGAAAGTTATAAGCTACTACAAAATTACATGTACTTCTTAATCAGTTACAATCATAACTTTAACAAATTTCGATTTCTTATTAATCTTTAAATGAATAAGAATTAAAAAAAATTGGTAACTTGCAATAGATAAATAACAATGCTTAATCATTTACATTGCTCTTCGATCCGCAGCCACGCTAACTGGATGCAGCGTGCTGTTAGTAGATCCTTTGCTTGTATTTTTTGATGAAAATGGAAAGATTTTGTTAGTATTATTTTATTATCTTATTAGAGCAACACATGGTTACAAGACTCAGTTCCTTTTTAATACTGCTTTTATCATCGTCAGTATTATTTTTACTGATTTAGGTATTTACAGTATTAGAGGTATGTATAGCATATACTATTATAGGTATTTAAATTCAATAAAAAGTGATTTGTTAACATTGTAAGCCCTACGTACTATTTCAATTTTTGTAACACTTTCAATGACGGATTTTTTAAGTTGTTCAGACTGTTTACATCAGAGTTACATTTTACCATAAATGGGTGTAAAACAACAATACTTTTATGTGTATTCTAAAATTTCTGTCATAAAAAATTGCGGCTTCAGAAACTATTCATTTATTTTACACTATTCTTTGGAACAAAATTTAAATTTGATTTTGAAAAGAAGTTTTGGTCCATTCATAAATAAATTTTGGCGATGAGATATGTTTGTCGTTCACACGCTGTTAACTAAATTCATGTACGTGTTTTTTCACTGTACCTCCAAGTCCATCGCAAGCCCCTTTTTACAGTGTTAATACCAAGAAAATTTCATCGTGCTTTCATGCCAAGTCTTCTTTGTCTTTTATTACGTTAATAAAATGAAGTTTATTTTTGTATTGAGATCCAGTGCCATAAGACAAGTAATAAATTTTCTTGTTCTAAATAGATCTTAATTTTATTTTCAAATACCTTTTTAACTTAGAGTTAAACAAATAAACAGAACTAGTGTCATGCAGCAGATAATTTTGCATTACTACGTAATTTTTGTTTTTCACGACATCTTTTTTATAATAATTTCTGTAGTTATGCAAAGCAGCTTGAATATTAGCAAAATGGTGCAACTGAACTGCACTTTGTATTTAACAAGTGTAATTTTCAGCGAAATCCAAGGTAACGACGAATTTCTCTTCCTCAGTTGAATTTTTAATTTCGCGACAGAAACTTTTTTTTATCAACGGACTACAACTATTTGCGGTTGGTACTTTTTCAATAATAATAACGTTGAAAACACTAATGACGAACCACTTAAATCTATGCTTGAGAAAACAGTGAGTCAACGAAAGAGAGGATATGCAACAATACTTACTATAAGCTCCGATTCCGTGCAATCTTAGACGCACCGCCAGGCCACCAAGCTGCATCTATCGTAGTTTGCGCCACTGCGCGTTGAAGAGCAATGTAAATAAAAAAAACTATGTTATTTACCTGTTGCATGTCCCCCAGTTTTGTTTCTCTCATATAATTAAAATCAAAATATAAAACAGTTATTGTCATAAATAATTAAGAAGTACACGCAATTTCTAATGGTTTATAACTTTTCTAAATTTGTTTGAGAAAACGAAAAGCTGCGTGCATTCTAAAAATATGCGTTTAAAGGGTTATTTTTTCTAAACATGTTCATAAAATTTCATAAAGATTCGTTAAGCCAATCAGAAGAAGATGATTTTCAATAAAATAGGGGGATGAATCATATTTTTCATGACTTTTGTAAGAATTAAATTTACAAAAAAAACCGAATTTGTGTCTTTCATTTTTAAAAGTAATATTGAGATAAGTTAATTTAATTTAGTATTTTAAGTATCGATTATTAGGTTGCCTTCTTTTTAAATTTTGACTCTCATTTTTTGAACTAATTTTTGTCATCCATTAATCTAGATAGCCTTTACAAACTGATTTGGCTGTTTAATTTAATTTTAATATCTGTTGATTTTTGACATATTATCACTATGCAATGAATATGGTAAATTACAACCATAAAATCAAAAATTTTTTTTCATTCCCTAAACTATTGGAGTGTAACATATAACGGAAAAATATGGTACATAAGAATATTAAAAATAAATCTTATTTTATCGATGGGTAGGTATTAATGCGAATGATTAAATTTATCGACATCTCCCATTCAGTTCGAGATTGCCAAGGCAACTCGATTTTTTCGGGCAAAATCTATTAGATAAATTGAATTCCAGCCAGCCTGCCGTAATAAATAGACTCTTAACATCTTTCTCTAGCAGTGGTGCATTGAAAGATTCCAAAGCATGTAAGACCATATTTAATTTTGTACATTTTGTAACTGGTGCATCTTAAATAACGTATATAATACCATAATTCCTGCCTTTGCTAATATTAAATTCTGGATGCAAGCATCAGTTACACCAATAGTCACTGTTGAACTGTTGAATTCTTTACATTAGTGTTCGTGTTTGAGAGCCAACACAGTAGCATACAAGAGAAACAGTTAGTCAACCCTCAAGAACTAACAGCACAGGTAAAACGATCGACAAAGCTGAAATTCTACCGTTGCAGTATCGTAACCACATGGCTATATATTTAAATAAAGTTTCTAGCAATACAAGGTATTTTATACATGAAAATAAATTTTACTATATTTTTTCAAATATTATTATTTTATTTTTCACGTTTCATTTGTGTGTGTTTGTGTGTGTGTGTGTGTGTGTGTGTGTGTGTTAAAGTGCAAACAGAAAACTTTTGAGCTAGGGTTTATCCATTCAAGATCAAATTTACTCAAATCATAATATTTGTAGTTGCAAGCTTAGTAAAAAAAGTGAAACGTATTGATGATGTTGCATGTAAAATAATACGTAAAATAAGGAAGTGTGAAATTTATTCAATGCATCTGTTCAAGTGGACTGTCAGTTTTACTTGAAATATAGCTGACTGCGTTAGTTACTATAATAAGTTTACCTCACTAAATTTTAATATTATA